TGTGCAATATACATGTCCAGCAATGACAGTCAAATGGTGCCGACATTACTCCCAATCCAAATCAGTGCCGGTACACGCGTGCCGCTGAGAAGGCGCAACCACCAAGCACAGATTATTCTTCTTTGACGAATGTCGTGGCCAAAAATGCTGAAAACAGTCCACATCAGGTCCACTCGACGTAACGTTTGTGACAAAACAAAAGACAAAACAACAACAAATGCAAGGCTGTCGAAAAGCACTTGCCGACGGCTGCCTACTCAGGCGCCATATTGGGGGGGGGCGAGATGACCTCTGACCCCAGTGTGGGACGAATAAAGGATATCTTATCTGAAAGTGAATCACCACTCATGCCCAAACAACGGTGCTAAACGCTAAGCTAGTCAGCGAATGACCTCTGATGTCAAAGCAGAGGTGCCCAATACGTCGATCGCACTCGACCGGGAGCCAGCGGACTGGTCCCAAGTTGACTGCAAGGGGTGGGAGGAGGAAATGAGGGGATGGGGGTGAGATTTGTGTGTTAGCGGGACAAAAGAGTGGCTTTTAGATTTATCTTTCCTCACTGATCTCACTGTCCAGCTCAATGAATTGAATTTAGAGCTACAGGGTAAGGGTAAAGATGTAGTCAACATGATGAGTTCACTGAGTGTTGGAATAAATGTAATTCTGTTCTCCCATGTTTACTCTCTGTGTAACTTTAAAACCTGTTTCAGAGTGAGACCTCGCAAATACCTTATATACAATGGTGTAGGTTGATCATGGGAGACTTGTCGGACCGGGAGAGCTCAGGCTGCTCCTGTTCTAGCTTTTAAGATACTGTAATATCTTTTTGTTCAGTTAACGGCTTCTGATCAAATTAACAGTTGCTTGTGTGAAGACAACATCAACCCCAGGACACCATGTGAGGGACATCCACAGCTGTGTTCGAGGACCACCGACGTCCATCAGAAACCTCAGGAATGAACTGTGTTCTCATTGAAAATCTTCTCCATTGAAGCTGTTGTGGAATGTGCAAATACCCCCCACACCCATTACAAGATCTTGTATCAGGGACATCCTTCCAATAAATGCAAAGAGACAAACGCAGTCTCTTCAGAATTGCGGTTTACATGGCAGAGCCAGCTGCACAAAGTCAGGTAAGTGAGTTTAGGCAATGCAGTAGCTTTGATTATTTTCCATGGTTATTTATTGCAGTAATGGTTCTAGGAAAAAAATTGTCCCTGAATCTGCTTGTCCGGGTTTTGTGTGATCTGTAACGCCGGCCCGAGGGTAACACGACAAACAGGTGGTTGCTGGGGTGGGATGCATCCTTGATGATGTTGGCAGCTCTGCTGAGGTACCGTGAGCTGGCAATGTCCTCCAGGCTGGGCAGAGAGCAGCCAGTAATCTTGTGGGCCAGATTTATCACCCTCTGCTGCGCTCTCCTGTCTGCTGCTGAGCACCTCGCGTACCACGCTGTAATGCAGTACACCAGGGTGCTCTCGATGATAGCTTTGTAGAACATCACCAGCAGCTTCTCCTCCAGCTCACCTTTTCCACACAGTCCCCATGAATGTAAAGCGGCGCTGGGTCTGCTCCTCCCTTCCTGAAGTCCAGGATCATCTCTTTTGTTTTTGTAGTGTTCAGTGGCAGGTTGTTTGCTGAGCACCACGCTGTCAGTCGGTTGACCTCGTCTCTGTAGTCAGACTCATTCCCCCCTGAGATGAGTCCGACCACGGTCGTATCATCCGCAAACTTGATAATGGTGTTTGAGGGATGGGTCGGAGAGCAGTCAGATGTGTAGAGAGTGAACAACAGGGGGCTCAGTACACATCCTCAATGGTGGAGGAGAAGTGGGGGCCAAGTTTGACGGACTGTGGGCGGTCTGTGAGGAAGTTTTTAACCCACTGGCAGATGGAGGTGGAGATGCCCAAGTGAGTCAGTTTTTGGACCAGGATCTCTGGGATGATGTGGTTGAAGGCTGAGCTGAAGTCCAAGAAGAGCATCCTCACGTAGTTTCCCGGGTGCTCCAGGTGACTCAGCGCAGTGTGGAGTGCTATTGTTCTAGCATCCTCGGTGGACCGGTTTGCCCTGTCGGCAAACTGGTAAGGGTCCAGAGTGGAAGGCAGGCAGGCTCCGATGTGCTGTGAGACCAGTCTTTCAAAACATTTCATGACCACAGGCGTAAGTGCAACAGGCCTGTAGTCATTGATACTGTCAGCTGCTGATTTTTTTGGGACGGGGATGATGGTGGAGGCTATGAGGCAGGATGGGATGATGGCCTGTGACAGAGACTGGTTGAAAATCCAGGTGAAAACTCCAGCCAGTTAGTCAGCATATGCCCTTAGTACCTTACCAGGTACGCCGTCCGGGCCAGCCGCCTTCATGGGGTCCACAGACATTAGCACACGTCTCCCTTCGTGCTCCTGAAGTGTCCGTGTGGAAGTGCTGGGGGGTGATGTGTGTGGAGTGACTTCTGGGGTTCTGGCTGCTTCAAAGCGGGCAAAGAAGTTGTGAAGTTCCTCTGCCAGCGAGGCATCAGTCCTAGCATTCACCGCGTTCCTGCCTCTGTAATTTGTGATGTGATTTATTCCCAGCAAAGTAAAGTGCATGACAGTCATCCAGCCGGGATTAGATGAAGGCATGAATGACTGTTTCAAACTGCTTTTGAGAAAGGAAAGGCTTTACTTTGTCACACATTTTTTGCTCTTATAAGCATAATTTCGATCGTCTTTACGTTCCATCAAACTGTCAAAAATAGTTGCCAAACCACCGTAATGTAGTCCAACATTATATTTTTGCTAAAACTCCTGAACAATCTTTACACTTGTAAAACAAACACGGAAAAAGAAAAAAATAATCCCTCTCGAAACCATGGGAATAAAAGCGGTGTTTTGCTGAGATTCCAGTCAATCCAGTTTCGCTGGTTGTCAAGCAAAAGTCTTCAAATTTTCAAAAATAGGATTATGTAATCCTGCAGATCGTACTTCTGCTTTCTTGTTAAATTAAAGAAATTCACAAGGAACTTGAATGAAAAATTATTTTCATGATATTTGTCGGATTGGAAGAGCTAGCAGCACAGTGTCTAACCAGCGCCATCTTGGTTACATTTTATGTATGAAGTGACATCATTAAAACGTTCTTAAAACGTAATCGGTGCAAATGTGTAAATTCTGAACTGTGTCTCAAAGTGGTAACTACCAAAAAGGGGTTTCTTTTTCGATCCCGGAAGTTGTCACCGACAGCATTTCTCCCACTGACCAGAAGAGGGAGACAACGTGACACCGAAAGACGATATCGAGACCTGGAATGGTCCATTCCTGTCTTAAATTCCATAAACGAGCTTCAGGTGTAAAAAATTGTTGCTAGCCTCTCTTCCAGAAATTAAAAATAATGAAACAAACAAGCAAAAACAAGAAAAGTATTCAAAAAATAAATGAAAATCCGAAATTACGGTTGAATTCTGGTTTGAATAATAATCATCCCTCTACCACTACGACTACTACAACAAATATTAGCAGCATTCCCGCTTGGGCGACAAAATAAACTTGGGTCACAAATGCTCCACCGCCAAAATAAAGCAAAAACTTTCCTTGTTTTTTTTCCTCAAAGTTTGTGATCACTAATTTACAAATACAACGGCCTATGTATGTGTGACATCAGTGATATCTTCACAGAAACAAAATCACAGGAGCTGACCAAGTTTGTGGTGACAGCAGTTTATTTCCTGTATGCTGACAGCAAAATGGGAAAAAAATCATGGATGATGTAAAACAAATACTCACTCAGAGGTTCAAAATGAAGGACTTAGGGACATTAAGACATTTCCAAGGAATCGATTTTGAACAAATAGATGGACAAATTAAAATGTCACAGGAAAGATATGTGAAAATGATTCTCGAAAGGTTTGAAATGCAAAACTGTAAACCAAGACAGTCCCCTTGTGAACCAAAACTAGAATACACTGAAAATGCAGAAAAGCTAAAAGAGCCGAGACAGTACAGGGAAGCAGTAGGAAGTTTAATATACTTATCTGCATGTACAAGACCTGACATAAATTATGTTGTCAGCAAACTATCTCAGCAGTTCAGTGAACCAACTGTGGAGCATTGGAATACAGTAAGTTCTGAAGCAGTGACATCATACATGCACAATGGAAGTCGTGCATTGCTCTGAGGAGATTGACGCCCTGAGTCGCAGCACCGCACTGTGGTTCGTCATCTGGATTTGAATCCAACCAATTGACATATAATAATACGTATTATACATATAATAATACATATAATACGTATTTAACCAGTACAACGTTGTTGAACGCAATTTTATTGACATTTGTGTGAAATAAATAAACTGAATTTGAAAGTAACATTTGAGTCCACACCGTTTAATTGAAGAACTCAAGCTGAAATAACTGCTTTGGAATAAAACAAAATCATCGCAAATTTAAGGTTAACTCAACAAACCAAGCTGTTAATTTCACCCAAATAAAACAGCCAGGGTAAAAGAAAACACAACAACAACCAAAGAGAAACCAAACATGCATCCATCCATCCATTTCCGATCCGCTTTTTCTCACAAGGGCCACATTTTTTATTAATTTTTTTTGAAACAAGCGCAAAGGTAAAAATTCTGATTTTAGAAGCCTTTTATTTTGAAATGTAACATCAGATCATAATGAAAGTACTGTACTGTGGTTAGATACTGGGTGGCAGAGTGTGCCCTAAACGTGGTCTGGCTGCGGGAAAACACAATTACTGAATTCATCAATTTATTTATTTATTTTGAATGATGTGAAATTTTAGTGATTGATGGAGAGTTAACATTGACTTTATTTTCTGTTTCAACTTCAGAACGCTTCTTGGTGCTATTCTGGGAGAGCTTTCATTCTCTCAGGGTGAACTCATCGTTCCTGAAGAAATTATTTTAAACATTTTTATTTTACAAGACTGTATAGTATTTGAAATCCAAACCCCTCACGTGAATGCATAAATTTGGTGTCTTTTATTTTGAAGGTGGTTAACGGCGCTCTCTGTCGACAGCTTTCCGTGATGCAGAGTATTCACAATCGCAGGCTTGACCGCAGTCCAGGATTGGGGAGCGAGGAGGGATCGACACTCTTGACTAAATTCTCCTGAATTTGTTGTTAACATGTTCAAACCTCCACTCGGAGCGTCCACCATCATCTCGCTGGACCAAAACATCTTTCGTTGAAGCTTCGTGTCCGATTAAAGTCGTCTCGGTGTTCGTTGGTGTTTCTCGGCCCAGTTTAGCTTCGGTTAGCTTGCTCGCCGCAAACAAAGAGGCGCTCGTGATCAATACATCGCTCTGCAGAGATCGTAAACGTAAAATTGTTGTTGTAATTTCAGTGTGAACAATGTGCGCAAGGACATCAGAATACGAGGAGGAACTTTGTGGAGAAAAAGAGGACCACAAGGGACAACGTCAACTGCTGGACGCCATTGGCAGGATGCAGCCAAGAGTTGTTCTTCACAGATTAGGTTTGGTCACAACGTTCGTCTCACTTGTCTCGTCTTCTTTTTAAAAGCCTTCAACTGCTGTCTTTCTTGTACGCAGTCAGTGTGTGTGTGTTGTGCGTTCTTGTGTGTACTTTTACGTTTACCTTCTTGGAGAATCTTTTACCACAAACTGAGCATGAATAGGGTTTCTCGCCAGTGTGTGTTCTGGTGTGTTTTTAAATTTCCTTTCTGAGAGAATCTTTGGCCGCAAACTGAACAGGCAAAATGTTTCTCACCAGTGTGCTTGTGCGTTCTTGTGTGTACTTTTACGTTTACCTTCTTGGAGAATCTTTTACCACAAACTGAGCATGAATAGGGTTTCTCGCCAGTGTGTGTTCTGGTGTGTTTTTAAATTTCCTTTCTGAGAGAATCTTTGGCCGCAAACTGAACAGGCAAAATGTTTCTCACCAGTGTGCTTGTGCGTTCTTGTGTGTACTTTTACGTTTACCTTCTTGGAGAATCTTTTACCACAAACTGAGCATGAATAGGGTTTCTCGCCAGTGTGTGTTCTGGTGTGTTTTTAAATTTCCTTTCTGAGAGAATCTTTGGCCGCAAACTGAACAGGCAAAATGTTTCTCACCAGTGTGCTTGTGCGTTCTTGTGTGTACTTTTACGTTTACCTTCTTGGAGAATCTTTTACCACAAACTGAGCATGAATAGGGTTTCTCGCCAGTGTGTGTTCTGGTGTGTTTTTAAATTTCCTTTCTGAGAGAATCTTTGGCCGCAAACTGAACAGGCAAAATGTTTCTCACCAGTGTGCTTGTGCGTTCTTGTGTGTACTTTTACGTTTACCTTCTTGGAGAATCTTTTACCACAAACTGAGCATGAATAGGGTTTCTCGCCAGTGTGTGTTCTGGTGTGTTTTTAAATTTCCTTTCTGAGAGAATCTTTGGCCGCAAACTGAACAGGCAAAATGTTTCTCACCAGTGTGCTTGTGCGTTCTTGTGTGTACTTTTACGTTTACCTTCTTGGAGAATCTTTTACCACAAACTGAGCATGAATAGGGTTTCTCGCCAGTGTGTGTTCTGGTGTGTTTTTAAATTTCCTTTCTGAGAGAATCTTTGGCCGCAAACTGAACAGGCAAAATGTTTCTCACCAGTGTGCTTGTGCGTTCTTGTGTGTACTTTTACGTTTACCTTCTTGGAGAATCTTTTACCACAAACTGAGCATGAATAGGGTTTCTCGCCAGTGTGTGTTCTGGTGTGTTTTTAAATTTCCTTTCTGAGAGAATCTTTGGCCGCAAACTGAACAGGCAAAATGTTTCTCACCAGTGTGCTTGTGCGTTCTTGTGTGTACTTTTACGTTTACCTTCTTGGAGAATCTTTTACCACAAACTGAGCATGAATAGGGTTTCTCGCCAGTGTGTGTTCTGGTGTGTTTTTAAATTTCCTTTCTGAGAGAATCTTTGGCCGCAAACTGAACAGGCAAAATGTTTCTCACCAGTGTGCTTGTGCGTTCTTGTGTGTACTTTTACGTTTACCTTCTTGGAGAATCTTTTACCACAAACTGAGCATGAATAGGGTTTCTCGCCAGTGTGTGTTCTGGTGTGTTTTTAAATTTCCTTTCTGAGAGAATCTTTGGCCGCAAACTGAACAGGCAAAATGTTTCTCACCAGTGTGCTTGTGCGTTCTTGTGTGTACTTTTACGTTTACCTTCTTGGAGAATCTTTTACCACAAACTGAGCATGAATAGGGTTTCTCGCCAGTGTGTGTTCTGGTGTGTTTTTAAATTTCCTTTCTGAGAGAATCTTTGGCCGCAAACTGAACAGGCAAAATGTTTCTCACCAGTGTGCTTGTGCGTTCTTGTGTGTACTTTTACGTTTACCTTCTTGGAGAATCTTTTACCACAAACTGAGCATGAATAGGGTTTCTCGCCAGTGTGTGTTCTGGTGTGTTTTTAAATTTCCTTTCTGAGAGAATCTTTGGCCGCAAACTGAACAGGCAAAATGTTTCTCACCAGTGTGCTTGTGCGTTCTTGTGTGTACTTTTACGTTTACCTTCTTGGAGAATCTTTTACCACAAACTGAGCATGAATAGGGTTTCTCGCCAGTGTGTGTTCTGGTGTGTTTTTAAATTTCCTTTCTGAGAGAATCTTTGGCCGCAAACTGAACAGGCAAAATGTTTCTCACCAGTGTGCTTGTGCGTTCTTGTGTGTACTTTTACGTTTACCTTCTTGGAGAATCTTTTACCACAAACTGAGCATGAATAGGGTTTCTCGCCAGTGTGTGTTCTGGTGTGTTTTTAAATTTCCTTTCTGAGAGAATCTTTGGCCGCAAACTGAACAGGCAAAATGTTTCTCACCAGTGTGCTTGTGCGTTCTTGTGTGTACTTTTACGTTTACCTTCTTGGAGAATCTTTTACCACAAACTGAGCATGAATAGGGTTTCTCGCCAGTGTGTGTTCTGGTGTGTTTTTAAATTTCCTTTCTGAGAGAATCTTTGGCCGCAAACTGAACAGGCAAAATGTTTCTCACCAGTGTGCTTGTGCGTTCTTGTGTGTACTTTTACGTTTACCTTCTTGGAGAATCTTTTACCACAAACTGAGCATGAATAGGGTTTCTCGCCAGTGTGTGTTCTGGTGTGTTTTTAAATTTCCTTTCTGAGAGAATCTTTGGCCGCAAACTGAACAGGCAAAATGTTTCTCACCAGTGTGCTTGTGCGTTCTTGTGTGTACTTTTACGTTTACCTTCTTGGAGAATCTTTTACCACAAACTGAGCATGAATAGGGTTTCTCGCCAGTGTGTGTTCTGGTGTGTTTTTAAATTTCCTTTCTGAGAGAATCTTTGGCCGCAAACTGAACAGGCAAAATGTTTCTCACCAGTGTGCTTGTGCGTTCTTGTGTGTACTTTTACGTTTACCTTCTTGGAGAATCTTTTACCACAAACTGAGCATGAATAGGGTTTCTCGCCAGTGTGTGTTCTGGTGTGTTTTTAAATTTCCTTTCTGAGAGAATCTTTGGCCGCAAACTGAACAGGCAAAATGTTTCTCACCAGTGTGCTTGTGCGTTCTTGTGTGTACTTTTACGTTTACCTTCTTGGAGAATCTTTTACCACAAACTGAGCATGAATAGGGTTTCTCGCCAGTGTGTGTTCTGGTGTGTTTTTAAATTTCCTTTCTGAGAGAATCTTTGGCCGCAAACTGAACAGGCAAAATGTTTCTCACCAGTGTGCTTGTGCGTTCTTGTGTGTACTTTTACGTTTACCTTCTTGGAGAATCTTTTACCACAAACTGAGCATGAATAGGGTTTCTCGCCAGTGTGTGTTCTGGTGTGTTTTTAAATTTCCTTTCTGAGAGAATCTTTGGCCGCAAACTGAACAGGCAAAATGTTTCTCACCAGTGTGCTTGTGCGTTCTTGTGTGTACTTTTACGTTTACCTTCTTGGAGAATCTTTTACCACAAACTGAGCATGAATAGGGTTTCTCGCCAGTGTGTGTTCTGGTGTGTTTTTAAATTTCCTTTCTGAGAGAATCTTTGGCCGCAAACTGAACAGGCAAAATGTTTCTCACCAGTGTGCTTGTGCGTTCTTGTGTGTACTTTTACGTTTACCTTCTTGGAGAATCTTTTACCACAAACTGAGCATGAATAGGGTTTCTCGCCAGTGTGTGTTCTGGTGTGTTTTTAAATTTCCTTTCTGAGAGAATCTTTGGCCGCAAACTGAACAGGCAAAATGTTTCTCACCAGTGTGCTTGTGCGTTCTTGTGTGTACTTTTACGTTTACCTTCTTGGAGAATCTTTTACCACAAACTGAGCATGAATAGGGTTTCTCGCCAGTGTGTGTTCTGGTGTGTTTTTAAATTTCCTTTCTGAGAGAATCTTTGGCCGCAAACTGAACAGGCAAAATGTTTCTCACCAGTGTGCTTGTGCGTTCTTGTGTGTACTTTTACGTTTACCTTCTTGGAGAATCTTTTACCACAAACTGAGCATGAATAGGGTTTCTCGCCAGTGTGTGTTCTGGTGTGTTTTTAAATTTCCTTTCTGAGAGAATCTTTGGCCGCAAACTGAACAGGCAAAATGTTTCTCACCAGTGTGCTTGTGCGTTCTTGTGTGTACTTTTACGTTTACCTTCTTGGAGAATCTTTTACCACAAACTGAGCATGAATAGGGTTTCTCGCCAGTGTGTGTTCTGGTGTGTTTTTAAATTTCCTTTCTGAGAGAATCTTTGGCCGCAAACTGAACAGGCAAAATGTTTCTCACCAGTGTGCTTGTGCGTTCTTGTGTGTACTTTTACGTTTACCTTCTTGGAGAATCTTTTACCACAAACTGAGCATGAATAGGGTTTCTCGCCAGTGTGTGTTCTGGTGTGTTTTTAAATTTCCTTTCTGAGAGAATCTTTGGCCGCAAACTGAACAGGCAAAATGTTTCTCACCAGTGTGCTTGTGCGTTCTTGTGTGTACTTTTACGTTTACCTTCTTGGAGAATCTTTTACCACAAACTGAGCATGAATAGGGTTTCTCGCCAGTGTGTGTTCTGGTGTGTTTTTAAATTTCCTTTCTGAGAGAATCTTTGGCCGCAAACTGAACAGGCAAAATGTTTCTCACCAGTGTGCTTGTGCGTTCTTGTGTGTACTTTTACGTTTACCTTCTTGGAGAATCTTTTACCACAAACTGAGCATGAATAGGGTTTCTCGCCAGTGTGTGTTCTGGTGTGTTTTTAAATTTCCTTTCTGAGAGAATCTTTGGCCGCAAACTGAACAGGCAAAATGTTTCTCACCAGTGTGCTTGTGCGTTCTTGTGTGTACTTTTACGTTTACCTTCTTGGAGAATCTTTTACCACAAACTGAGCATGAATAGGGTTTCTCGCCAGTGTGTGTTCTGGTGTGTTTTTAAATTTCCTTTCTGAGAGAATCTTTGGCCGCAAACTGAACAGGCAAAATGTTTCTCACCAGTGTGCTTGTGCGTTCTTGTGTGTACTTTTACGTTTACCTTCTTGGAGAATCTTTTACCACAAACTGAGCATGAATAGGGTTTCTCGCCAGTGTGTGTTCTGGTGTGTTTTTAAATTTCCTTTCTGAGAGAATCTTTGGCCGCAAACTGAACAGGCAAAA